TGAGTTGCTTCTGATGTTTATCACAGCAACAGAAAGCAAACTAGGATTACCAGCTTGGCTCTACAGCCATCTAGATGCTATGTCAAAATAAGTGAGCAAATCAGCAAATAAATATTGGTGGACTGGCATGGAAATTCATGTGCATAGCATATACAGGGCTCTGGGTTCTATCTCCAGCATTGCAAAAGAGAAAAGGGTTGGAGGGAAGGGGGAAGAGAAGGAAGGGGAGGGGAGGAGATTCGGGACAAAGAGAAAAATCATTAGCAGTTTATGCTACTTAAGCTGCCCAAACAGAATACCACAGACTGGGTGGCTTAAACAACAGAAATGTGTTTTCTCATGGTTCTGAAGGCTGGAAAGCCTAAAAGCATTGTTAGCACGATCCATTTCCGGAAGGGTCCTCTGCCTGGCTTGCAGATGGTGGCCTTCTAGTTGTATCGTCACATGGAAGCAAAGGAGGGGCCCAGTCACACATAGCAGCTCTCCGGCCTCTCTTTTCATGAAGAGCCCGCCATGACAGCCCTACCCTCATGAGTTCATCTGACCCCAATCAGCTCCCACAGGCCCCTCTCCACATAGTGACGACAATGAGAGAAGGCAACTTCAGTCTATAGAAAACAGGGCTTGGGTAAAACTGCTGGGGCATGTAGGCAGAAAGCAGGAAGCTTAGAGCAAATGGGAAACTGAGAACATGGATGAACTGTGAGAAGTTAGCAGCAAAAGGTTGGTACTACAAGAGTTGCTTATGGGAAAGAAAAGATCTCACATTCAGTTTGCTTAGACATCATTCCTTTTCTTTTTGGATCCAAAGTCCTCTATGGTCATGTTTTCGTTTTCATATTTTCGATCCCATTATAAAATCTCCACAAGTCAACCATCTTTAAAAAGGCCCACATAATATATTGTGAAGTGAAAAGGCAAATGTTATTACAAAGCCATTTGTGCGGTGTGGTGCATGATCCAATATGTTTAAGAGAGTCCATAGAAAAATTTTAAGGACATATACACAAAACGTTCAGGGTTCGTCTCTGGGAGATGAGATTTCGGGTGCATTTGGCAGGGATCGGTTAGGAAAACACTCCGTATTAAAAGGTTCAAACAGGCAGCATCACACCCAGGCAGGTCTGTGCTTGCAAAGCTGGTGGAAGAATGGAGAAGACAGAGGTGGGTAAGTGGAGGCCACTAGGAGCTGTCGAGTTTGTCACCCCAGCTCTGGGCCCCAAGAAATCAGGCACCTGTTGCTGCTGCTCCATGCTGGCCCAGAACTGTGTGTCTGGCCAGTCAAGGCAGACCCTTGCATCTACACTGCATGCCTGCTGCCACTCTCACAGCCTCGTGGGAATGGCTAAGGCCTCTACTTCCTCCCAGACCCTTTTGTCACCAGACTGAAATTATCCAGAACACAGTAGGGAGGGGGTCTGGAGTAACCCGGGGGCTCAGAATGCCTTTGATTTGTGGAAATAAAGGAAGAACAGAAGGTAGTACTTGGGCCAGAAGACAGCCATTAACCGTCTACACCCAATGACTGCTCAGTAACCATCCAATGAGTCTTCCTGATCAGTTAAACTTCTCAACCACAACAGCAAAAGCTTCAACCTTCTGTACTTGTCCCTCTGGTCAATGGAATGAGTTCAGCTGCTCCTTAATCTGGGAGACCTACGACATTATCAGCTATAGCAACTTCTGTGGGAAGACCTCCTGGAGCCAATGGCAAACCTGACTAAACATTATGAAACCTAGTAACCACACTACAAGCTTCACCAATTCACTGCATACAAGTAGAAGGAAGCCAAGAGGAGAAACAAAATGTTACTACACAGAACTAGAAAAATACATCAACTTTAGCTGTCTTCTCTACTGGTTATAAGGCTGGAGTTGTCATTATTAAAACTTTTTTTTTTCTTCTTTGAAATATGTTTCTTCTGGTTTGGGCAGCACCTCTCTTAGTGAGATTTAGTTTTTTCTTTCTTTTTTAGAAGATTTATTTTATGTGCATGAGTGTTTCGCCTGTATGTACATGTACCATGTGGTATGTGCCTGGTGCCCAAGGAGACCAAAAACAGGTACCAGACTCCCCAAACTAGAGTTACTGGGGCTCCGAACAACCAGATAGATTCTAGGGATTAGACTCATTCGCTCTGCAAGAGCAAAAGTGCCTTTAACCACCAAGTGCCCTCTCCAGCCCAGAATTAGTGTTTTATCTAATAAAGTAGTTCAAAACCCCTTATTCTTAAAAGGTCTACCCCTGTATTAGCTCTCTCTGATCTATTAACTCTAACTTCTCACAATCTCTAGGCAGTAGTCTAGCGGATTCCAGGTTTCAAATGCAGTCCTTACTACCTTATATGGCATTGCGGACGCTCATGTCTCCCCTGTCACTCCAGCCAGTACGATAACTATTTTTTCTTTGTAGTTCAAAGGCATTCTAAGGAACAGCTAGTCTTTTCTGTCAAACAGCATAAACCCTGTCTACTGCAAGGGATTCAACTTTTCCTATGTCTCCTACCTTGTAAGATTTGTATGCAAATCTTTGTATCTCTTCCCTTATAGGCGCTTATGCAAATGTTTCAATACCATCACTCAGTAAAACTTGTGTACCTACTGCTTCCTCCCTTCCTTCACCTGCTTCGCTTTGAATACCGTAAAACTGGGCAATATTGAAAGAGCGTGAGGTCAGATCTCAGACAATGGGGAGAAGGCAGCTAGCAGGTGCACTGGAAGAAAACTCAAGTGCATTTCATGCCCCACATGCTTGCCCACCCCGCTTGGGTTATGATGCATCTTTTTGTGAAAATAGCTGCCTCCCTCAGCTGCTTTTGCTTTGTTCACGTGTTCCTTTGTGAGACACAGACACCAAGACTATTCTCTGCTTCTAAGAGCATGGGTACTGAAAAGGGCCACATGGCTAACTGTGGCCCCGCTATCATATTCTTTAGTAGATTCACGCTCCCTAAACACTTGTCAGCTAGGAGAGCTCGGTACTGCAAGGAGGAAAAGCAAACATTTCTGGTGTGGGTTTTTAGGTGCATAACTAGGGAGAGAATTCAAAGTCATATGAGGATGAAGACATATACAACCCTTTCACTACCATTTTTTATTTATTTTTAAAATTTATTTTATGTATGAATACTCTATCTGCATGTATGTATGACTTTAAGCCAGAAGGGGGACACTAGATCCCACTATAGATGATTGTGAGCCACTGTGGTTGCCGGGAATTGAACTCAGGGACCTTTGGAAGAGCAGCCAGTGCTCTTAACCATTGAGCCATCTCTCCAGCCCCCACTACTTGTACTTTGCCTCTTTAACCTTGGATATCAGAAAAAGGATACAATCAGAACCTGGGGTATGTCACAGCAGTTAGAAAGCCATCCACGGTGTTTTGTTCCTGAGCTGGGGTTGCCACAGCGTGTCAGGGGTAGAGGACAGTTATAATTTCTGGAGTGCCGGAGGCTGGGGCCACACCTTGGCCTCTGGAGTTCAGAGGCCAGGAAGAATCTTGGCTCCCTGGCCCACATAGCACACGTGACAACCCGGCTGGGAGTCCCTTCAAGGCGGAGCTAGTTTATTTATATAACAAATACAGGGAGTGGGTAATCGTGCCATCTGCACAGATGCAATCGCCCTTTAAATCAGAGGCACAAATACATGTTTATGGGTCAAAGTAGCTCACAGAATATTCAAGCAAAACAGTCAGGCCATTATATCCAATTTAAACATCTTAAGACTGAGTTGTCCCCTTGCTATGTGTTGTACTTATTTCACAACTTACCACACCCATTCACCTTCTCAAGTTTTAAAAAGTGTAACTCATTTTTAATGGAAATCACTAATTTGCCAGTGTTCTCTCTCAGGCGCTTCGAAATCTACTATAATCATATCTTTGGGCTAAAAATCTTCTCTTTGCTCCTGCATTTCCAACCCACAATCACTCTGTAGACCAGGATACAATTTTAAAACCTTAGGTTCTAAATTAGAATATGAAATTTATTGTGTGGTTCCAAGTCAGTGTAAAAATTTCCATGATTTTGCCCAGAAAACAGATGCCCACCGGCACCCTCACCAAGAAGCCCCATCATTACGGCGACTCTCAGAGTTGGAACAAAATCCGTCCAAAGTCTCTTATGAGCCAGAACTTCTCCAGGGAGAATGCAGAGCAGCTGCCTCTGAGATTCTTTCAATTATGGCTTCTGCAAATGCTGTGAACAAAGCAGCCTTTGTCCAGAAACGTAGGTACCGAGGGCTTCCCTCTCTGCACAGAGATGCTCCCTGCTCACCCCAGTGAGCTCCTCCACAAGTCTCCCTGAACCAGAGGGCAGATGCAGGAAAATGAGCATTGTGTGCTGCAGACTCAGGAGCCAAATGGACCGGTAAGCCAGGGAGGCAGAGTCCCTGATAGGCATCTTCAGGGAAAGAAAACTAACCAAAACTGAGTCTCTGGGCTCCAGCTCTGCCTCTGCTCTCTACTGAATGTAACTGCTCTCCGGCGGCAATCTTTTTGCACCTGACTTTCTCACCAGTAAACTGATGGGTCTTGTTTCTCTTCGCAGGGAAGCAATGCATCAAGCCTTGCCTTAGAAATCTGCTAAGATGATGTGTTCCCACTGATACACAACTTGGGACAATCTCAGAATATTAACAGATTATCTAGAATACCATATGACCTTAGCTGTAAGCCACACCCATGAGTCTCAGCAGCACTAAAGGAGGCAGGAAGTCGGGGGAGACCTGGTGAACAAGGGAGGCAGTAGGACATCAGATTGTTCTTTCAGGACAGGGTGGCACCACCTAGGACTCTTTAATAAAGCGTTTTACTCGCTTGCTGATTCTATACCCTTAGCCGTAAACTGAGAGTCACAACCCACACCGTCTACTGACTGGGATGGTTGTGGGGATCGGAATCAGCAGGGGACAACAGGGATGAAGATAACTGGCTGGCGACTCAGGGGCTGCTTCAGCTCCAGCACGCCAAAAACACAGGCTAGACGGAGCAGCTCTACCTGATGGTGGTGCCTTGCAGACGGTCTATCTTCTTGTTGAGCTCTGCAATGATGCTGTGCAGTTCTGTGATACGCTCCTCATAGCGAAGGGTTGTGCGCTCCTGGACGTCTTCATGCTCTCTCATGAGGTGGGACTGCTCGCACTAGGATCGAGAACACAGGACAGAAGACGGACATGTGGATGTGTTGATGTACCTTTTGCAGAATGATTTCATAGCTTCGAGCCATTGCTTTCAAGACTGGTATTCCCCAAATAAGACACTCACCTGCTCCAGCCCCAAATTAACTCTTGTAGCCCCAGTTAAAATTTACAATACCTCCGGGAGGAGATGGAGGATCTTGCATTTATAATACTCTTTCATTCTGCCTCTCCCTCTTCAGAGTCCCTGCTAGCTCCTCACCAAGAAAAAGACACGAGGCCACCAGATTCTGAATCTTGAGTAAATGCTCCTAAGTAACACACCTACATTGGCAGAGCTGGTTCATCCACAATCTCCAACCTTGAAGGGCTGTCCCTCAGTTCCTTCCACCAATCTGCTTCTTTTCCCATAGTGAGCTTCAGCTACTTTAATACCCCAAACACTCAGTGGTATAATGGGTGTTTTGGTGGGGGTGGGGGACTCATTTATGCTATCATATCCAATATCCTCCTCTTCCAAACTGTAAACTCCCAGAAGGCAGACACTAGATATTCCATTATTCAGCCCTCGCCCCCTCCCCCACCCTGGTGGCATATGGCCCAGCTCACTGTGGGTGATCTGGAAGTGTTGTGAAATGAGTCAGTGGTGATGCTTCACAGCCACGAAGACTACTTGATAGAAATAATGACCAGAGAGGCTTGGAAGCTTCCCTGTGCCTAGGCACTGCTGGAGTGAAGAAGTGCGTGCTTTTGGAAACACTTTTGCAGAGGGAATTTAAACCATAAGGAACCCGTCCCCCACGATTTCTCTCTACCCTCCTCAATTCCCTCTAGGCAGTGGCAGCTGATCTCATTTACATAACAACGGAACATAGGAGGTGACGGAACAAGTGGCCTAGCTTTGGCCTTGTCTGCTACACTCGGCGGTTATTAATTTCCTGTCCAGCAGGGAAATTTTAATTTCACTTTCAACCAGGTTTTCCAAATGCCTACAGCCATATGTGCTCTCCAGCCAGCTCTGCAGGTGTGTCTTTTCAGGCCTGTGACAGGGAAGGGGTAGGGAGGCTTCTTACCCACTACCGTGGACGGGCGTTCTCCCCTTCCCTCAACCTGCCACCTTTCCAATGGCATCACCCAGGGCGGGCACCTGGGGACCTGCTGGACTCTGGAAACAAGTATCAGGCAAGCAAGATTTCTGAATGCTCTATAAACAGCCTTCTCAGGAGAGCTGCCTGCAGAAGAACACTGATGCCAACTACTGTGCCCGGTGCTAACCTCCACACCAAATAACCTCCACACACAGTGAAGCCTCTGGAGTCAGCGGGTCCAGAGGTAAGAGCAAGGCCACTTCTAAGGGGCTGGAGACATGGTTGGTTGGTGCAGCACACTGTTTAGTAAAGATGAGGCCCTGGCCTTAATCCATGGCACCTAAGAGAGCCACGCCTAAGCGGGAGCTTTCCAGCCTCCTTCGGTGCATTTTAGGTCTTGTTCATCCACAATTCATTACTCTTTAGAGGTAAGGAGTCCACAAAATAGTATGTCACGAGCTTTGGTGACTAAATCAGCAGCCTCTGTCTTTCTCTGAGACATCTACATGTAGACTACTGTCCCACCCCCCACCCCCCCCCACCCCCCACCCCCCCCCACCCCCGTTCCCAAGGGGCATCGCGAGCTCTTGTGGCTGCTCTTTATTCCCACCCCCAAGCAGAGTGTGTAGTCTTCACGCGCCTACAGAATACACACTCCCGTGAAGATCAAACTGAAAATAACGGCAATGCCAATCTGTGCTCTGGACTCTGCCATGGCTGCGCTGGCTTTTAACACTCAGTCCGCTAGACACAGGTCTGTGTGGTGCTTCACACACACACACACAATGAGCTTCCACGCTCCCATCTTCCCTCCCTCGTTCTTGCTTCTCTTCTTCGGAAGGACAGGCCACTCCCACCACCCAGCCTGTCCAGGGACCGCAGCACCCCATCCACACTTAAGGGAGATTCGGTGTTTAGATGAGGAAAGGGCAGAAAGTGGGTTCAAAGCCGGACAGGCGTCCCTGCAGTCTGTTCTGGCCCACCCTATACAAAGGTCCTGCGGGGATGGCTGGGTTTAGGAGACACCAGATGGAGACGAAGAGCACCTTTGCCCCTGGTTCCAGCTGAAGAATCTGCCTGGAGGGGTGCGCAGGAGTGAGAAACTACAGGAAGCTTGATCTCGGTCAGGGACAGCACCTGCAGCTAAAGGGAGCACAGGCAGGGGAAACAATCCTTTTAGCTGAGGGCAAAGATGCTTGGCTTGCTTCCCTCCATTTTCCCCATAAGTATGCTTTTTCTAAAGCACTAGGAAGCATCTTCAATTTAGCGCTCCCTTTCACAGGTATCAGACATCTCTGGGTTGCCCCAAATGTCTAAGAGACGACCTGGGGCCACGGGGAAAGGAACTGGGACAGGCACTTTGAAGAGAACTGTGACCACTATAATCAAGTGGACCCAAGGAATCCTGGGGTTTTTTGGAGAATAAGAAACACAACTCAAGTAGGTGGGGAGAAAAGGGGGGAGCCTGGTGCTTCAGTCCCTGTGCAGCGCTGGCATTGGGGAATCTTCTAGGTGTTAAATCACTCAGTTGTTCACGATAATATACAGTAATTGATTACCAATGAAAACACAGAGATGCAGTCTCTGTTTTATCTCTGATTTTGTTTTCCTTTTTATTTCTTAGTCTAGCCAAGGGTCTGCTTTAGCCTTCGAGAGCCAACTCTTTGTTTCTAGGGTCCTTGGTGTCTTCTTGGGTTCGGTTTCATTTCTTTCTGGTTTGATCTTCCTTTCTTCCCTTCTAATTTTAGGGTTAGTTTGTTCGGGCTTTTAGAGCATCCTGAGATACAGTGAGAGGTTTGAGATTTCTCTTTTTAAATTTTCATAAGCAGTCCTTTTAACATTGTTTTTTGCTATGCCCCCAACAAGCTTTGTTACATTGTACATTCATTTTTATTTGTTTGAAAAACAAGTTTCAAACTTATTTTTTAAATGTTTCAGTTATTCATTTAACTATTTTTAGAATGCTGAAAGATCCTCTCAGATCTTCATAAATCGGTTCACACAATCCTCTTTCAAACAGTGTCTCTGTCTCTCCCACAGTTAGTGTACGAGGGACTCCACCTGGAAGATAAACATTGGCAACCCTACTGAGGCGGCCAGCGGGGCCTTTGCCAACACTCTGAGTATTGTTGCCTCCCCTGCAGAGTGCGGCTGTACTTCTCCCCCTTGAAGCTAAGAGATGCCCTGTAACTCGTTTTAGCCAATGCGATGAGTGATTACATGCTGTTTTGTCATTAAGAACTCTTGCAGGATTTACCACATGTCCTTCTCTGGGTCATGGTGACTAGATAGCGACATTCCAGATAACATAAACAACTTGGGTCTAGGTAAGGAAGTGTACACACATGCGCGCGCGCACACACACACACACACACACACACACACACACACACACACACCTCCATGAGCTCCTAGTAAGGTATTTGACATCTGGAATTGCTTGCCATTACTACATACCCTAACTGATCAAATCATTTTGTACATGGGAAAACAGACTCAATATGAAATGACTGTTTTATTTACTGTAACCTAGGTAACACTAAAAACCTTTAAAACAAACAAACAAACAAACAAACAAACTTCTAATTCTGTTTGAGTCACCTGATGATATCTAAAACCTTCGTCCTTCTTCCTCTCAAAGCTTCTTATGGTCACCAACAAATACCAGGAAATGCTATGTCTGACTGTGCCAAACAAGAGCTAGAAAACCAAGACATCTCCATCCTCACCCTAAAGAGGACAAAAGCACCCAAGTGTGCACAGTGTGTGAAACCGGGGAACGCCAGCAGCTCCAGCTACCTGTCAATCATTCAGTGATTACTTATTTAGGCGGAGCTAGGCGAGACCAGAGTTTCCCATGGCACCTCTACCTTCTGGTTATTATTGTTTTCTTTGCTTCACTGTACACAAATGCCTGTTACGTTCTCAATGAAAAAGGCAAGGAATAAGCTTGAAACAGCATGCCTCTGCTTTTTTTCCTTTATTGCAGTAATTGCATCTCAGGCTCTTCCTCCTATTTCTAAATTCAATTTCTGACTGATGTGACCAGCGTAGCAAAGCCAGAAAGCCTGTGGCTGTGGCGCCTGGCCCGCACATTTCTAGAGGTCAATATTCCTGGGAGTCCAGCTTTTTTTCCCTGTAGCTACAGGCTTTCTCTGTGTGGTAAATATCAGAGTGTTTTGTTTTACCTAGACTTTTTTTTTTTTAACCTGGCACTTAATACATATCCTGTTTCCAAGGCCTTAACACTGTCGTGATGGGGGAGAATGGAACCCCCTGTAAACCCCTGTATCTAGCCATACAAACTGCTGAAGCTGCTTATGTAAAATAACGTTTAATATAAACAAACACCAGGGACATCGAGGTGGTCCAAAGAGGAAAGGTGTTTGTGGCTAAACCTGAGTATTGGCACTCCATCCCTGGGAGCCATGGATGGAAGGAGAGAACCAAGTCCTGCAAGGCTTCCTCTGGCCTCCACACATACACGGTGGCATGCGTATATACAAACACATACACATATGCAAACAAAAACATGGTAAAAATGAAATCAAAACAAGCAAAAGCATCATTTCAACTGCTGAGAACAAAATCCTTTACACATCTCTGCTAGTGGTACAGCTCCAAATAAAGCCTCGAGACCTGTCTGGGACTGTGAGGCTTGTGGGAAATGCCTGCGCAGTGTGGTGGCACGGAGGGGCTTTATGATTTGGCTAACGTTCTTCCTGGGTTTTAGCTTACTCCACAGAGGCCACTGAGGTTTAATCATCGAATTCGTCTCTGCTGTCAGACCTGAGAGACTTATGAACCGGCTTCTTGAGAAACGCAATGCCGTCATTAATGTGTTAACCCTATTTGCCATCCTGGAGAGGGGGTCAGCATCTCTCCCGCTTAAAATACGGCAAGATGTGATGTTACC